GGGGGGGGGGCGATTCCAGATAACTCGAACTTCGGATAACTCGAAACGATTTGCCCGGTCCCTAAAAGTTCGAGTTAACGAGTTTTCACTGTATCTTCCCGTATACACAAAGTAAGGCACATTTCTCATGCATAGAGTTTCCATCTGATGCGATTTACAGTGCTTGTGCTTTCTGTAAAGACAGAAGTAGCGAACCACTTCTGCATCGGAACTTTGAGTTCTTGTAATCATGCATCAGGAAGTTAAAGTTGGAAAACTGACTAAATTAATATAGAAGTGGAATAGAGCTTAGGTATCGAAAATTGCTTCTGTTCTGAATGGAAATCGGAAGCAATGGCGTGGGATACGTCCTTTCCGATGCATGCGATCCCGACACGCCTGCATGGGATACGCTTCATGCATGGATGTCGGAGTCGAGCGAAAAAAGGTCCGACTGCTTCTTTCTCAGTTTGAGTCCTCCCACTTTCTGGCATCCCTGCACCAACAGGCCAGGCACCCCCGTCCTAATCAGCCCGCCGAGGCACTTGAGTCTTGACCCTCAACGATAATAGTTTCTCGATCAGTCAAGTCAATCAGAAGCCAACATCCTAACAATGCGCGTGGGCTGAGGCTTTGAAGAGACAGTACAATGCTAGGTATTCGCATCGAGGGAAGGGTCTCCTTATCCTTGTTGCAATATCTCTCTCAATTGTATTTCTGTGCTTCTGAAAATCGTGCCGCCCTGACGGACGTACCTGAGATAACCTGATTCATAGTGGATACGCCTTCCGTAATTATATGTTGCATCTCCTAGACACCACATCAGACGGAATGGAGCTGCCATAGCTAAAAATAGCTCCTTTTCGCAGCACGTAGGGCCTTCCAATATTTCCTGCTTCATATTTCAGTATCACTCACCCGGAGAAATGACTAATGAATATAATGATAAATAATGCTGAAGTTCCAAATGCGATATTCCTTTTCTTGTAGCAAAATTCTGTCATTTGCTTCCATGTAATAATTGCGCATCTAGAGCATGAAATATGTGGACTTCTTGTCTGCTTGTGGATCTGCTTGTCGGGAGGCCACGATCACAACGCAGCATCCAACAAGAAAAAGCTTTCAATGGTTTCCTATGAAGCACTTCCATGATATTTTTTTTACCAGGAGTTCCAACACGTCACTCGAAACTGACACGTCGCTCTTGCACACGAGAGCGACAAGTCACTCTCGAGTTGTTTCTGGGTCGCCCCTCAGGGATTCCATGAACACTGCTTTGCTCTTTCCGTACGTATTGATCCTTCGTGACTGATTTATTTCACTAGATCTGGGTGACACGAGATGCATGGAAAGATAACTTCATAAAAAGCATTGCATTTTCATGACATTGCATTGTGCGGAAAAATTGCAATCGGAACTTGTATTATGTTTTTGGCAGAGACACACGAGGCAGATCCTTCATTTCACTCAGAAGACTCGAAGAGAATCCCTTCTTATACATTTGTCAATGCATAAGATACGAAGTAAATATAAATTAAATGCAATTATTGATATTCATGAGGCATCGAAGAAGTTTGGCGTGAATTTAATATTACTTTTGTTTTTAATTGCTCTCAATGCGACTTGAGATTGGTCAAGGGTCAATATCTCCTCCTGGAACCTTCATGACCCTAAAACGAGATTACCTTAATGAATTCCGCACTTTAGGGCAATCGCTCGTAGTGACTGAAATAGACAAACTCTCTTTGAACTTAACCCTTAACCCCCTTCTCCCCCCCCAATCACCAGAAAAGATATACAGTATACTTCACAAGACA